TTAAAATAAAATATATAATATAAAAAATTAGATTAAAAAAATATAAGATTATAATAATAAATGAAAATAAAATATATGATATTAAAAATATATTTACGAGATGATATTATTAAAAATTAATAATAAAAAATATAAATATATTAAATTTATATTTTAATAAATAGAGATAATTTTAAAAATTAACATTATATTTCTAATAAAATATTTATAAACCAAATACAGTAATATTATTTTTTTTATATTTTAATTATTATTTTATTTATATATTAAACACTGTAATATTATTTTTTTATAATTATATTATTTGTAATTATATTACTTGTAATTATATTATTTGTAATTATATTATATTTTATTACATTAGAAAGTATCAAATGCTACTATAAAGTTTGTTGATTTCAGGAAATAGCAAATCGTAGTAAGCAATGCACCTTCATTGTCTTTCCAAATGAAAAACACTAGGCATTCAAGCACATGACAGGGGCCATAGCCCAGAAAATATAGTTGCTTCCGTCGTGGGCTGCTTTTTGGTCGCAGCTGGAGTATTGTGGAGCATGGCCTGGAGCTGGAACTGGAGGCTAGGGCCTCAAGGAGAGACCATTACGGCACTCAAATCTCTTGACCGGTTGTTTAGAATAGGCAGGGTTTTCAATAGGCTAATGTACACCCATGATAAAGGGTTCCCATTTGCAATTCTGAAGTAACAAAACCCAAATCATAAGCCGGTTATGAATGATGACAGGTATAACTCATGAGACCAACGTTGATGGTGGACTCATATATAATCGGCAACGCTTCATTCTTTTACATTTCATAATAATGATTTCCATGATAATGCGTTATTTTTTCATATCATATCACGTATTAGACATTAAAAACCAATTATGTTGAATGTGTATTTTATTCTGATCTAATACTCAAAACAATTCACTAGACATTAAAGCTAGTTTGTGTTGATTTTGGGTTTTTAACAGTTTGGTTAGCAACGTGACCTTTTAAAAATCACATCATATTTTCTAATTTTTAAAATCTTTAAAAATTTTACATCATTGAGATTTAATGGTGTTAATGATTGGCCTCATATTAATAAATTTTGAAAATACAATTCATACAAATTATAATAGAGACACTAAATCCAACATTATGGAGAAAAATAATCAGTCCCTTTTTCTGTTCTAACAAGTTTTTCTTGCAAGTTCATGAAAATCTAGGTTTTGTTGTTGGGAATGGTGAGAATTTGAGATTCTGGCAGAATGAATGGATCTAAGGCAGGACACTGGCAGATGCCTTCTCGAGGGTGTTCGCGTTGGCAGTAAAAAAAAGAGGAAAAATCATTGAGTTCGGAAGTTGGGATGAAGAAAAGTGGAAATGAAAGGTAGAACTTTGCAGACAGCTTTTTGATTGGGAGGTTGAGCAATGGGAAATGTTTGAAGACACCATAAAAGAATTCCAGCTTAGTAAGGAATTGAAAGATGAGTTGGTGTGAAAAAGTGATACAAGTGGCAATTACACAACTAAGTCCTTTTGTAGATACGCCCTTAACTCAAGAGCGAACGTTAATGGGGTTTGGAAACAAGTGTGGGCAAATCTTGCACCTTACAAAGTTGAGTTCTTTGTGTGGCAACTGTTACATCGTAAAATAAGAGTTAAGAAAAAGCTTGTTAAAAGGGGTGTGAACTTGAATAGTGGAGTGCAATGTGTGCTGTGTAATGTTGATAGGGAGACTTGTGATCATCTTTTTGTAACTTGTAATGAATCATGGAAAATTTGGGTTGAATGGTGTAGGCTATGGGGCACAATGTGGGTCTCTGCAGGGAGAGTTAAAGAGCTGTTTCGTGTGTGAAACAAATGGCAGCTGGGTGGGTTAGATGTTAGGATTTGGAAAATGTGGTTTTTTGCAGTAGTATGGTCAATATGGAAAAGTAGAAATGAAATTGTGTTTCAAGCCAAGGAGTGGAATAGGGAACAGGTCTTGGAGCTTGCCAGGATTAGGGTAGCTTATTGGGCAAATGCAAAATGGCCAAAAGATTATCCGTTTGTGTTCAATGTGTATAGACAGCCTCCAGCCCAAGGCTAGGATGCTAAGAAGAGTAAGGAAAGCAAGAGAATTCTATGGGAAAAACCATCACAAGGACAATTAAAATTTAATGTTAATGGAGCAGGTAAAGGTTGCCTTGGACTGGTATGGATATGTGGGGTTTTGAGGGATCATAGGGGGGAAGTCAAAATCATTTTCTCCAAAGCTATAGGTGAAGTTGACTCCAATTTCGCAAAGATGATGGCAGTGAGGGAAACATTCTTGATTTTTTCAGCATCAACATGGAAGGACAATCATAAACTTCTTATTGAGAGCAATTCGAGTAATGCGGTTAAATGGACGATCCATCCGGATTTAGGCCTGTGGAGAATGAGAAAAGTGGTCTTACATGTGGAGAGATTGAAAGAGAAATTGGAGGGTTGGGAGATTCGACATGTTAGAAGAGAAGGTAATCAGAGAGCCGATACTTTAGCAAAAGAAGGTGCTTAACAACAGTCAGATATCTTGAGAACTTTCAAGTAAGTGTTGATCCCTGGTTTTTCCGTCTTTGGGTTGCTTTGTGGTCTGGATAATGTTGTTGGATTGGAAAAAAAAAGGAGAAAGTTTAATCATTATGAAGGTGATGAAAGGATGTTGAGGTGCAGGAAGGTGTTGAACGATCATAGAGCTTTTTTGTGCCTTTATTTAGGAACTGATCATTAGTTTGTTTTTGGCTTGTTTCGATTTTTGCCCATTCCTAAGAGGGTGTTCAGGAGATCTGGATTTATGGGGCGATCTTTTTTAAGTTTGTAGGGACTCTGGGTTTTCTTATGACGGATTGTTTGATGTAGGATGATAGGTTTTGGGCGTTCTGGTGATTGGTTTCTCGGTTTTTGATGGGGCAGAAGTCTAACAAAACAAGTCAAGCCTTGGGATTTAAGGGGATACCAGCTGGTTGTGGGCATAATCTCAAATATCTGTGAATTTGTTTTCTTTTGGTGCTATGGGCTGTATCGTTTATGGGGAAACATTCATTCCTTGGCTTTGAATGAAATTTTTTTTTTTACTTACAAAAAAAAATCCAACAACTTTTTAAATTTAACATTTTAATAGAGTATAAAATTTAAATTCAAATTTTGATCATTAAAATCTTAAAAATTTCAAACAAGTATCAATCAATGTTACATTAATATGTTCAATGTCACGTCAACAACTTTAACGAAAGAAACTTGATTGTATTAATGATTAGATTAATATTAACAAATTTTGAAAACACAAAGAATTGATTTATACGACATGTAATAAAATGGTTAAATCTAGCATTTGGATAGAATAGAAAAACTAAATACATAATTTGACCAAAGAGTTCCTAAATAAAAATATGTATGAAAAATATATTGAAATAATTGTAAAAATATGCTGAGATCTAATCAAGTAAAATATTGTTCTAATACTCCTTAAGTTGGAGTATTAAGATTTGAATGCCTAATTTGGCTTTGAAAAAAATGAAAACATACTTTGCCACGGGGTTTGGTGATTAAGTCATGAATAAGTTGGTTTGGGGTGAAAATGGGATGAGGAAGAAGGATCTTAGCTTGGAGTTTCTCATGAACTACATGGCAATCAACTTCAATGCGTTTAGTGCTCTCATAGTAGACTGAATAAGCTACTAAGTGAAAGGATTCATGTGAATCACAAGACAAGGGGACTGGCTTAATGGAAAGAATGTCTAGATGTGTCAATAAAAATTTCAACCAAATAATTTCCTAAGTAATCATAATCATGACACTATACTTAACTTTTAGAGAAAAGTGAGAAACAAAAATTATTACCCAAATCTTATCCAAAATAAATAAAAACTACTTGAATCCGTTAAATACCTGAAACGAATACATAGTAACCTTGACTAAAAATTGTTCTCTCGAAAACCCACCATATAACCCCCAAATCTCATCAAAGAAAGTCCCTTTTCCTCTTAATCTTTCTTTATATCTATTAAGAACTCAACTTTTGATTTTGGTTTATTCTTTTTTCCCCTACAAATTAGTAAAATCCTCTTTCATAGAATCCAACAACAAATTTCAGTAAGACAAACATTAATCAAACTTTCAATTAATGTAAACAACAGACTCTTCTATTAAGCACATAGAAGATGATGAGAAATATTCACTTTAAACTAAAAATTGAGAACTACCACTTGGTTAACATCATTGACAAACTACAATTTCGAATCCTCATAAGATTCTGAATAATCAAAAGATTTCAAAACTATTCTTTTCGTTTTTGGAGGAGGTTCAAGTTTGGCTTTTGATAGTTTTTGTGTTAGGGCAGAAACTATATTTACTGTGCTGGATTTTAGGATTAAGTAGCAGAAAATTTAAATGTAATTCACTGTTAAAACGTTTCAAGCATATATACTTTCTAAAGAGATATTGGGTTTAATTGCTTCATACTACTCAGTAACAAACGCAAATGAATTTGAATACTAAGTGTATAAAAATTTATACATGTACTTTACTCGAATCCAAAATGGACAATGAATTCTCTACTCGAGCCTTTCTCAAATCCAGATATAAGAGACTTAAATATTTGGGTTATAACTTTTTTAAGTATCAGGGTGGATCGGTTTGATATATGATAATTAGATACTCATTGTCATATCTTAGGTGTAACAGGAGACGAAGGAGTTAGGTACTTGGTGGAACTAATAGATGATAATTCTGTATGGGGCGCCACGAGGGTGCGAAAGCGAAAAAGAGAAACAAGGCCTAAAGTTATTAAGTTGATTTCATGTTAATGAAATAAATTTAGGGTGAAATTGTTGTCTTATCTTACACTAATTAAAATAGATGTACATATACAAATATTTTTTGACTAATTATTTAAAAAACCTATTACAGTATAATAAAAAGAAAATTATTATTATTATATTAAAGTCTGGGGTTAACAGTCTCCGAGATTGTTAAAGGTGGTGACCGTAAAGTCCTGCAAAAGCAAAGCTGCAGTCCATTGACAGACCTGAGATAGCTGCTAAGCGTGGTACGAACCCAAAAGAAAGAAAAGCCATTTGCTACAGTTTTGATGTCAAAAAAGCCTTGAGCTTTACCTCTCCAAGAAACAACAGTGCCTCTCTCTCTCTCTCTCTCCCCAATCCGAAACCACCCCACCCTTGCCCTCTTCTTCAACAATGAGACGCTTCTCTTGAAGTCGAGACAGAACAGAAAAGACCCCCTAGAATAAATTTCAGGAAGAAAAGGAAAAGCTTTGAAGTCTGAAGAGAGAGAGAAGCCGAAAATGAAGGTCAAGAAGAAAGGTGCTGTGTACCCTCCTCTATCCTCACCATCCTCTCCAGTTTGTTATAGAGATCCTAACTCTGTGTTGAAGCTTCTCCCGGTAGCAATTCTAACTCTAGCGCTACCTCTCCCACCACAAGACCAAGAAGTCTTGGCTTACATGATAACCAGGTCCATTATTTCCACCACAAACCCATCTACCTTCAACCATCAATCCAAGAACAAGTGCAAGAAAGGAAAAGCCCCTCTTTTTCAATGTGGGTGCTTCGATTGTTACACCAGGTTTTGGCACAGATGGGATTCTTCACCCAACAGGGACCTAATTCATCAAGTCATTGAAGCCTTTGAGGACCATTTGCTCCAAAATGAGGTCTCCAAGAAACACAATAAAGCAGCCAGGAAGAAAGATAAGGAAATCTATGAATCCAATGTAGTATCTGTTAATGCATTGCATAGAGAGCAGTCCCAAGATAGTGAAATATCGATGGTTGAAAATGAGGCCTTGGCGGAGGCTGAAAATGGGGGTGGGCGGGGTGGCCCTGAACATGAAGGAGAAGGGAATGTGGATGATGAGGTGACTGGAAACCTGGAAATGGAGGTGGTGACTGTAGCAACTGGGGCTAGCCACAAGGGTTTGGCCAGGAAGGTTTTACCGGACGTGGTGGGCTTATTCAACTCTCGTTTGTGGAGCCTCTGGGGTCCGAGTATCTAGGAGCTAATTTTTCATGTATTTTTTTCGTTTCCTCGAGAAAAACTTGCCTCGTTCCAGCTGTTTCAATTAAAGTTTTTGTTTTGTTTTAGTGGGGAGCCATTTCCGGTTGGCACATTGAAAAATTTTTCTGGGGGATACGGATTTCGCTCTGTTGCCAGTCAAATTAGTTGCATAGTTTAAGGTGCTAAAGTGCTAAAAGTTAGTGGGCTTAGGTGACCACATTGTAGCTTACATGGACTAATCATTCCTCATCATCAACACTTGCCCAATGCCTTCATCTTGATTTCAATGCCAAGTCTATGTTAATTTTATTCATTCCTGTTATCCTAAGACCATCCCTGGGTTGCCATTTCCATACACAATTTGACAATGTTCATGGTTTACAAGCTCGGCTTCTAACCCTTTAGTCGACTATTGACTTGAATTATGTGCAACTCCTCCTTGGGTAGGGGAAAACAGAGACGCACCTATGACTATCAAACTTGGAAACTTCAATCTCCAGCCGAACCTTGTACATGATAATTTTGCTCCAAAACCATCAAGACTAACCATATTCGGCTCATCTAATGGCCATCATTTTCCAGCCTGTTGTCCGACATTAAGAATGCAAGAATTCAGGACTGCGCAGCAATGCTGCATCGAAACTCGCCAAACAAGTCAAGAACAAGTACGGTCCCTTTGTTGTCACTCTAACCAAATTTTTGGTGATGCCATAGCATTTTACATTGGCATGGACATGTCGGTGGGTAATATATTATTATTTAAATATTTTAATTCGAATCTTATTATTTGATAATATATCTGCATCTTATAAATATTAAATTAAAATTTTGAGCTGTTATTTAAAATTATAATGAAATAGCATTACTCGTTAAATATTTAATTAAAATAAATTTATATATATTATTAATAATAAAAAATAAAGTTAATTCATAAAAAAATTAAAAATTAAAATCATATTTAGAATAATTAATGAATTTTAGTAAGTATTATATTAATTATAAGAAAACTATAAACAAAATATAATATATAGAAAACTAAAAACTAATATTAAAAAACATTATTTATATTAAGTTTAGGTATTGGGTACCCTATAATCACTATTTTAACCTGTGATAAATAATAATATTACTATTCAAATTTCAGTATAAGATATTCTAATTTTACTTAATTGAATTGAGTAATACAGGATATCTTACTATAAAATATCCATTAACATCCATACTTTGAGAGAAACTCAACTCATAAAACTACTATTGTAATTTTTTTATTTACATAATCATGGTTTCCTTGATAATGTAAAATCATGAATTTAGATAGGAAATTTATATTATATTTTAATTAATTAATTAATTATTTATTTATTTTTACTTTTACATCCACATGCAGTTTTTGCCCTTTTATTTTCACAAGTAAGTAACAACAAGAATAATAAAGTAATCAAGCAAAACCTTAACTATGCTCTAAATAGCAAAGGTATACCAACTAGTTCATTCCATAACTTAGATATCTTTCAATTGTTTCTTTTTACTATTTGAGTCAAGGTAAAATTACTTTCCATTCATCAAATGGTGAAAGAAATTAAGTTCCCCAACCAAAGGTAAAAAAGAAGGATTATATGTTGAATTGATGTTACATTTACTCATATTTACTCATTATTTACCATATACAAATGTAGCTTAAGTAATAGGAAATTAAATGTGGGTGAGCCTCGCTCTGCGAATAACTTTGGCCGAAGAAAACTTTCATTTTGTCTTTTACTAAGTATTCAATGAAGCTTCCCAAAAAGTCTAATCTGACGCGGAGCATTACGTTTTATTTCATATCACTTCAAACTATCCGGGCCGCCGTCCAATCTTAAAAGGTACAACGCAGTCTAGAATCGTATCATGGCCTAATTGTTTGAAACAAAGACTTGCCCGCTTTGGCCAATAGCAGCATATTCTTGGACCCCGCATTCAACCCTAAACTAGTCATTTACACTTGAGTTTTCTTTTTAATTATTCAAAATAAATAAATTGAAGAACAAAAACACCCTAAATCAGGCTCTTGAAGGGAACATCGAATCTGGTGCCCATCCAAGAGCCTTGATCGGGCTGCCCAACGGAGCATTTGGGAACTCGTTCTCCGGCTGTGGGTAGTCAAATTTTTTTTTAAAATAAAATTTATAATTTATTTAATATTAATTTTTAAAATTAATAAAAAAAATATTATCTTAATAATATTATCATATTATCAGACTAATAAAAATATTAATGATTGACTAATAATAAGATTTATATGTCTAACAAAAACATTTTTTTCATCAAATTATTTATTTTAAAAACTAATATACTCTGTATAATTTTTATGAAAATTGTTTAAATATTTTATTTTAAATTTAATCTTAAAGTATATATTTTTTATGTCATAATTGAAGCTAATTGCTTTAACAATTTATGCGCAGGCCTCCATATATATTCTGAAAAGAAAATTTGAATGCAACTTTTTGTATAAAACAATATATAATGTAGTAAGTTAAGATAGTGGTGGTGGTCACTTTTTTTTATTATATATATAAAATTTAAAATATATAAATTTATAATTTTATATAATTACTTTTTAATCACTCAAATAAAATTTAAATAGATCATATATATATTTATTATTAAATTAAATATTCAAATATCTCAAATAAATATTTTCAACTTACATCATTTTCATATTTCTCACGATATACATCAGAAACTTGCAATCTTATTAACGTTTAGCATGCTATGTACTGTCGTGAAGCCTATTTTTGGCCAAATATTCTCATCAAGTTATGTTACGTGACGTATACGACTCAAGTTTCTTTGCTCCTGAGGGAGGTGGATCCATGAACAATAAAGCCTCCATGCATCAATTTTTTCTCTGTTTTCAGTGACTTTGGACGTTGGCCATTACGCCGCCCACCTGTTTTTCTAACCATTCCCTTTCATATTTTTTTTCTGTAATATATATATATATACACATTCTTATATAAACTGCTCTCTCTATGCATCTCTTATCTTAAATATCAGCTTTATATTTTTTTTTTCCTTCATCCTTTATTACCATGGAGAATTACCACATACTTTTCCCGGATGGATCTTCAGCCTCCCCTTCCTTGCTAACCATGACAAATCATCGAAGTTATTTGCAAGGCAACGATGTAATTACTACAACGAAAGTGGGAAATCAATGTGAAGATTTGGATGCCAAGGACGTATCATCAGAAAGTGAGGTCAAAGTAGGGAAGAAAGGAGACAATAAGGGGATGAGGAAGCACAAATATGCGTTTCAAACAAGGAGCCAGGTTGATATACTCGATGATGGGTATCGATGGAGGAAATATGGGCAAAAAACAGTTAAGAATAGCAAATTCCCGAGGTATATCTCTCTACTTAATTCGTTTCTCCCGAAATTTTAACTCTGGTTTTTGCATTTTGGGATTAATTCCAGTCTTCTATAGATTGTAGGTCTCATGATTAAGTAGATCCATCAATATTCTATGGCGCAGACCTTAAATTAAAGTTGCACTTAGTTTAAAAGCATGGACTTAAGAACCAAGGGAAGCAATTTGGCAGCTAATGTCCTTTACATGGATTTTCATTCTACCTATTTGCTGATTCAAGTTCTATTAGTGGAATGGCATACATGTAGAAAGTAGAAGCTTTCTATTAATTTAGCATATTCAGCTAGCCTGCGTAAAAGAACAGACAAAGAAATTAAAATCATTCAGCCTGCACTCAATCCATTTTTGGTTATCAAAACAATTGAAGTCTCCATCTCGTGTATATATATCAAGTATTCATTTTGGTTGTGTCTTGTTTGCAGAAGTTATTACAGGTGTACACATAAAGAATGCAACGTTAAGAAACAAGTCCAACGCAGTTCCAAAGACGATGAAATTGTGGTGACCACCTATGAGGGGATACACACACATCCGGTGGAGAAGTTCAGCGAAAACTTTGAACAGATCCTGAGACAGATGCAAACGTACAATCCTTTATGAAATGTGTTGGTCTGCAGTCCATCGCCAGAACGTGTTTATATCATTATATGCACCTAGGCTTATAGTGCTGTTCCTCAGCAAAGAAACTATTGAAGCTATGCTTTTTTTTTTGTCTTTTCATTTTTCGTGGTGTGGGATCTCGTCCCAAAACAGATATCATATGATAACTAGAGGGCGCCCTAGAATGATTTGCCAAGGTACATACTAGCTTTGTGCCTAATGCTAAATTGGACGGTGAAAGTATGCTTTCGACAAGAGTACGAGGCGGAACGAATGAATTTGCATAGCCGATGCATAGGTCATATTTAGCTCTTGCTAATACATTGAGTAGTCAAAAGCAGAATCAAATTATTGGGACTCTGCCAATAGAGCCTGAAACTCCCTTGACACATTCATTGCTGGGACGGCTGATTTATATCTTGGGGCGGTCCATATATAGAGTCTCCTACCTGTTGTGTATATTGTTTTCTGGTTTTGCATCTGACAATGGAGAATATTTTTGTGTAGTTAATTTGCTTGTCGCGCATCTGTGCTTAACAGAACCAATAATTCTCTTGAACAGCCATTCGTTGTTCTTTGTTCATAGGCAGTGTCTTTTCAATCAGGGCTGGCAGATGGCGCTGCCGGTTCATTGGGGAAACTTTTGACTACAATGTCGAAATCCTGAGACATGACACCACATAGGTTTTTTTGCTCCTCACTATCCTGCTTTTGTATTCATTTGAAAGGAGGGAACATCTTCTCTTCCCAACCTTGAACACCATTGGACATTTAATTCCAATAGCACGCCTTCTCTCTGCTTTGCTATTGTAATTTTTTGTCATTCGACTATATGTTATACAAAGTAACACGAAGACTTAAACCTGCAATCTCACAAGCCTTTTTAAAATTGATATAGCATTGGCATTTAAGTTATATAATTACCAATACAATATGCTTGCTGTTTATTATATGATAATATACTAGTAAGTTCCATAGCTGTTGATGCTAATTACTTTCATTTAAAGAGGAAACCGAACTATTATTGGATGTAGTATCTTTTTAAGAGTTAAGAGCAAGAAAGATACTGCCTCATTTCTTTGTTCTAAATCAACATGAACCTTTTTTCACATATTGCACATGCACCCAATGTCTTTTTCCAACCCTTTGACAACATTATGTCATCTACCATTCCATGTCAGATTTCATGGTAGATGGTATCATCTTTGACTTTATCCCTCAACTCGGCCTTTTCCTCATCATCACCTATCCACTGACGGGAATAAATCCCAAAATGCACCCACCCATATATAATTGCATCTTTAATATCTACCTTTTCTGTTTTCCCAAACTTGAATTCCTAGTCTCATTCACAATGATTGATTTAAAATCAACACATTTTTCTCTATCATACCTTATTTTCCACGCCATCATTGGCACTTTATACTTTTTCGTACCCCTGGCTGCCTGTGTGAACATTTTCCAGGAACTTCTATATTGAAGTGTTCTTCTTTGTACTGATTAGCAACGTGCGGATGCGGCCCAGATGGTAGAGCGCTCGCTTAATATGCGAGAGGTACGGGGATCGATACTCCGCATCTGCAATGATATTTTCAACCTGATGAAAAAAAGCAGGGGCCTGTTACCTTTCAGTGAGCGGGTCCCTCGTAAAAGTCAGGGAAATGGAACCCCATTGTTATTGGGTGAACCTCCGCCTGTATTGCCTGTGGCTGGAGGTTCAGTAAATGATGATACATTCCCTTTATTTTTTGAGCTTTATTATGATACTAAAACTTAAACAAGAATGGCCATCACGAATTTGTCATTTTACATTTCTTTGTTTTTATGCAGTAGTCTCCGTTCTGTATTAGGATGTAGAGAATAACTAGAACACTGAAAACCCTTCAATTATTTTAAGCTATATATTTACATTTTCATTTCTTTTAGACGTTCCAGAATTTTTTTTTTCTTGGAAAGCTCATGATATTATTAATAGTCTCATTCGGAAGACAGAAGATAAGCTGCAGTAGCTTACAAAAACAAAAAGAGTCCTTAGTGTAAGGATTGGCAAGATATCAGGTGGATTCTGATATGCCAAACATAAGTACATTAGTCGATCATTCTCCTTACAATAACACTACACACCAAATTAAGAATTTCCTTGTAAGTACAGAAACACGAAGTTTGGTAATAACAAAATGACCCATTTAAACGTTTTCCACCCCAAGTCAAATTCAAAGTAAGCACTGAAGTTTGAATCTCTTGCAACACCAGCTTTGGCGAGCCCATCTACAAGTGAGTTAGTTTCACGTCTAATATGGGTGAAGGATAGGTCCAAAATATCGTTGGTGCTTTCAATGGAGTTGGAGATGAGCTTCATGCGCCAAAGGATTTTTTTTGTGGTTTTGGGCCCTGGGTATTGCATTAGAAGAGTCACTCTCAACTTCCCATTTAAGGAAGGATGCCCACGTAGAGCCAAGAAAGAACTTAATTCCCCTTTGAATGGCCTGAAATTCAGCAAAGTTGGAGTCCTCTACTCCAATGGCATGAGAGAAGACACCCTTGATGATGCCTAGATGATCTCTGATGACTCCCCCGATGCCTGCAGGCCCTAGCTTGCCTCGGGCAGCTCCATCTGTGTTGAGTTTGAGAGAGCTTTTGGGAGGAGGGGTTCATATGTCCTTCTTTGTTGGTTTCTTCCTCTCTTTTTTACTGGAGAAGGCACTAGGATAGTCAAAACATAAATTAGTAGGAAAATGGTCCAGTTTCCTGTTCCCTTTACATCAAAGAGAAAAACGCAACTAGATGATGTCAACGATCTAGTTGGGATTGAAGGCTTTGTTCCTAAAAATTATCTCATTACGACGTAACCAGATGGTCCATAGGGCTGCGAAGAAGAGGATTTTCCATGCGTTTCTAGTGTTAGCTGGAAAGGGATAAAACATCGAAGCTTTGAAAAAGGATGCCGCATCGGCTGGAGAAACCCAATAGATATTCCACTTCTTGTAGCAAGTGGACCAAACTTCCCAAGCAACATTACAAATAAAAAGTAGATGAAAGGGAGTTTCACGTTCCAGAAATTAAGCTCCTCCCTCTGTTTCTTCCATGAATATTTAAATAGTGGTGCTAATAAGTACCTGCTATGTACAGTTCCATGTTTTCTAACCCTCAAAGCCACATGATTAATTACATGTAAACTAGTTAATAGTTCATAATCGAAAAGCATATGCCGCTCATATATATATGAACATGTAATTATCACAACAAATTCCTAATTGGAAAGAGCACTGATGTTCGTAACAACAAAGAAAATTAACAAGGGAAAAGAAAAAGAGAAGAGGAAAACACCCTCTTTTGTCATTCTAATTGCAGTTAAAATCAGATATATATGCTATAGTCTGGCAAGTAAAATAAAAAGATAAAAATTAACAAGCAGAAGCATCCTTGAAAGATAGAATAAGAGATCAAGTGCATCAGTCTTCTTCACTCTTAACCATGGTTATTATAATATCATTGTAGGTTATAATGGAGACTTCATGTTGGGGTTAGAATCACCTCTTCATCCTCGTATAGACAAAAATTCCTCCTTGAGATGATACCAACTACGCATACAGCTAAAGTAATAGTAAGCCAGACTATGATAACCATCCATCGTCTACCTCTTCCACTGCCTACATCACAGGCAATTCTCTTCTCTGCCAAAGTTGCCACCTCAGTTCCTCCTCTCTGTTCCTTCTCAGCACATAAAGAAGAAGAAGAGGAGGAGGGCGAACAAGAACAACAACGAGGGCATGAAGCGGACGAGACCCCTTTCCTTCCCCAAATTTCGTCCACATCATTATCAGATTCATAAGAGAAAACTGACCTCACTTCACTCTCTTGATCCAAACCAAACTCCCAGCCACTGCATGTCAACTCATCTCTTCCAAAACCCATCTCGGTCACATCCTCTACTTCCTCGAAAAGCCGTCTTCCCTTCAACTTGCCACTCTCGATGGCTGCCCTTCGCTCAGTGAGTATCTCTTCAACGGCCAAATCATTGATTCTCACTTTCCATGCTACTCTCTCCGATGGAGAGTTTCTGTGCTGAAGAGAAGACATGAGTTTTCTAGGCGAGTTGTTGAGCAGTCGAAGGGTTTGAATCATTTTACTTGAGCCTGTTGAACCTGTATGTAGGGTTCTTTCTGGCCTCTGTTTTATGAAGTCCCATTCCTGTTCCAAGTTCTTGAAAAGACGGTGCAGTTTTTGGTCATTGGTTACTTCTTCTTCTTCTACAGAGGGTCTTTCCATTGTGGGGTCTCTTTCTTTTTTGCTTTCTATCATGACTTTGCGCACAGTGCGGGGCTTTTGAATAATGGGATTAGAGACGTTGCTTTTAAATGTGATGACTGAAGAGATTATAGCGGGACAAAAACCACCCACGTTTTGGTTCAGCAAATATTTTGAATTTGATTATCGGATTTTGGCTATATCTTGGAATTAAAAATGTGATTTAAGGGAAAAAAACTGAACATCATGGATTCTCTATCAAAATCTAATATATGTAGATCATAAATTTTAAAGGACTGGAGTTACCACAAACTCAATCGTCATCCAACCCCACTAATGGAGTAATAATGACCTTTGACAGGGTAAAACTTAATCCCGGATACCCTGCACAGGATCCGGATACGTCATTCTTTTCGTGGTTTCCATTCTTACTTGGTCTTCCTGTAGTTTTCAATCGCTGCTTCTTTTTGGTACAATTTTTCACCACTTTCGTTAATATGATTGCCTTTTAGCTTTGATTTTGACGCATTAATTTCCAGGCAAAAAACCCAAAACAAATGCACACGATCTAGCTCTTGCTGAATCTACTCAGGCATTATCATTATCTAATACAACTCTGTCGAACATTGTCTACGACTCCATGATTGTGTAACTTTTATACATCTCCAGCAATTTGTCACCATAATATTACTTTGGTGGGGCAGTCGAGCAATGATCTTTAACACAGCAGCAGCATTCGCCTACCACCATCAAAAGTAATACGCTTTTCCATTCTAATTAGATACAGCGCTGATGCATATATGATGGCACTTTTCCATCCTCCTTCGAAACTTTTATCCCCACCACATAACAACAGCAGCCGCACTTGGCGCCTGCTGTGGCTTTTAGGAAGCAACCTTGGATCTTCACGATCCGTAGAATAGCCCCACGGCAATCGTATTTGCTACCCTTCTCAGAGTCCTAGTGGCAAATACTTCTATACAACTTACCTTCCATACCTCAGCACTACAGTTGGAGAATGCATCATACAGCATTTATCAATTATTGCAGTCAGTACACACGACCCGTCCAACATTAAGTTCCATAAATCAAGATTCCTTAGCAACAGTGTTGGATCCAAATTCTTTAAGAAAGAATAAAGTTCACCAAGTTTTCTGGGGTTACAATTTAGGCAACAATATCAATTGGTGATTGTTATCTGATGCTATGAAAGCTTCAACCAAACTTCCCCCCAGAGCAATAGTCAGTGACAGGCCAAAACTT